TAAAATATTCACCCCTGCTGCCGTTGCTCCCCACTTGCTTCCCTACGCCCATTCCTGCCATTTCTGAAGCTGCATTCAGGCTCGCGAGGCCCACCTCACTTCGCATCCGTTTTTGGTGAGTTCTCTACCCCTTTACTGCTTTTTCTATTTCCATTCACGTATCTTCATATAGGTTCTTCAATCTTTTGTGCTTTTGTTCTTGGTGTTCTTCGTTTTCTTCTTTTTTGCTTACTGTTCTTCGTGCCCTCTGCTTGGGGCCATCGGTGTTGCCTTTTATGTGTAGAACCCATACACCCTAGGGCAAATGGAAACTGTAGGGAATGGAAGGGGCCTTCGTGCCCCTTGTTCCTTCTTGGTTCGAACGGATTTGCCCCACTCCTGGGATGAACTGTTTGAATCTGGGTAAAACTGAGCTAAATGCTCACTTAGATCCGTAGTTAGAGCCTCAGCCAAGCAAAAACTGGTATGTGGCTTCTCGCTGAGGCCGCGACTGAGCTGAATACTCAATTAGATCGGAAAATAAGACTGAACCGAGCTAAAACTTGCCTTGACCGAGCCGAAAATAGAATCAGAACCAAATCAAGAAGGCTAAAACAGCCATTCCGTCGAGCCGAGATAGGGGTTAGACCAGCCAAACACCCTAAAACATTTCTTCCGAGCTAAGAGTTCCAATATGAGCCGTGCAATTTCTGCCGTGCTAACCCTTGGGCTTATTTTTCAACAATGCAGAACAAGCTAGGACCGATCAGGCCAGTACAGAACCATCACTGGTGAAACTCAAAGTCCGAGTGAATACACCAACATTTTTGACCGAGATACAAATTAAGTCGTCAAATAAAACCGAGATAGATGGGGAAGTACCGATTCATGGTGAGCTCGCCTGGTGCATTAGCTGAGTTTCATAGGGAGTACAACATCCCAGACGACGTCATCTTAGAGCTCGCCAAGAAGGGAGATACCCCTTGGGGCGACCTAGACCGGTGCCCCTTCACAGTCGTGTCTATAGTTGAGGGAGGACTTCGCTTCCCGGTCCAACTCTTGATCTGCGAATTTTTGAGGCAGACAAGGCTTTGCCCGGCCCAAGTCTCCAACAACACGTACAAAATAATAAACGGTGTCGCCGAGCTGAACCGGAGGCTCAGTCTCAATCTCGGTCTTGTTGAAATTTTTCATCAGTACAGCCTTAGTAAAAATAAAGGTGGGTTTTGCTGGTACCTGAAAGTAAAGAAGGGCCGAGCAAAACTCATCGAGGGCAACCTGGACAAAGAGACCAACGATGATGACTTCCTATGGATGTCCGGTAATTACGAGGACACCGAGGCGCCCATACCGGGTTGGTACATTAGGAAAGATTTTGGCAGTGCTGGTGAGTAGCTCGGCTAACCGCCCTATCTTCTTCATGCATTAGTTTCTCTCTTTGCCGGTCTAATACTTGCTTCTTTTTGTAGATTACAAGCACTTAGCAGAGGACTACAACCGGGCTAACCAGGAGGCTATCAGAGTCCTACTACGTCACCCAGCCGAGGAAAGGAAGTCTTCAAAACTGCTCGGCTTTGAACCGACCTACCACTACCAAGCACCGCGCAAAAGTTGGGTCACTGACTTTCTTCGTGCGCCTTCTCCCGAACCTGACCCAAATCTTCTACCGATCAGACTAGTTCTCCTCACCGCCGAGCAAGAAATGGAAAAAATCTGGGCCATCAAATCAATGATCACCAGTGAGGAAACCGAGTCGCAACCACTGGAGGCAACTGGGGGAGCATCCTCCACCCCAACCGGGCAAACGGAAGGCGCAGTGCTGGCTCTAGCCAGCGAACAACCCACTGGCCGGTCGAGGAAAAGACCGAGGAAAGACCAGCCCGGGCAGTACCTCGTTGATGAGGATTCCACCGAACATGTTTCAACCGAGCTTGGGGACCAGACCAAACAACAAATCAGTGGGCCATCCCGGTCTGGTCGCCAGAATTTAAGTACAAAGGCCGCGCTGTTTCAGAAGCAGATTTGGTCTACGTGAACAAGGACTACTCGCTCGGTTTTAACATGACCAAGGGGTTGATCCTGCCCGCCGACATGAAAAAACACGACGAGCTGTCCGGCCTGAAGGTCCTCCGCTCGACGGCGAAATCCATAGTGCTGGTAAATTGTCACTTTTTCTCTTTTCAAGTTATTGACCGGTTTTTGCTCGGTTTTCTGCATTCTTACAATCCTTCATTCGTTTTCAGGCCGCACAAAAGAACTACCTCGCCCACGAGCGCATGATCGCCGTGCGGCAGAGTCTACGCGATGCCATCGCCGAGAACAAGGCCCAAGCGGTCGAGATAACAAAGCTTAAGGCTGCGCAAGAGGCAATCGTGGCCGAGCGAGATGACCTGAGCCAGAAAGTTGACCGAGCTAAAGTTGACAAACGGCGGGCCGTGAAGTCGACGAAGGCCCGATACCTTGCCGAGCTGAGGAAACTGCGCGATGTCCACAAAGTAGAGAAGGACAAGGCTGTTGATGACGCCGAGGACCGAGGATACGCGCAGGGGGAGAAGACTTACGAGCGGCAGGTCCAAGCGACCAAGGACATCTTTTTCCAGTGCGGTTGGAAAGCTGCCGTGGAAAAAGTTGACCTTGGCCAAGATGCTGACATGTTCTTGAATCCCTCCGCAGCCTATATCTCGGTCTACATGCAGGCCTACGCGTGTGCCGCGCAAAAAAGGCTTATTGAAGAGGCCAAAAAAGCAGCCGAAGAGGAAGCGGCGACCGAACAACCAGCCGAGCAGACTTCTCCCGACGCTACTCAAAGTACCGGGGAAGTGGAGGCCGAGCAAGAGGTAGCTGTGGAAGGCGCCCTAGATGGACCCGAAGAGGGCACGACCGAGCAGACTACCCAGTCCGCTGAGCTAACCGTCGATGTCGACCTGGAGTTGGACTGAAATGCCCCCTTCTATTTTATTCTTTGTTTTTGTTTCGTTCCTTTCCGTTGCTTTTAAATGTAATCGGGCTAGGCCCCCTCTTTGTACTGTAACTTCCCTAATCAATGAAACTTTAACTTTTTGCTCGTTTATCTTGTACTCCTGTTCGGTTTGCACGTGCAAAAATTTCTCGATTCAAACTTTAATGCAGCACAACTAGTAGATCGGCTACGCCGTGTAATCATGCCAAGTCCTTTAGTTGGTCGGGCAAAAATCAGCTCGACCGTAAAAGAAGTTGGACAACTTGCCAACTTTTCATTTTGGCCGAGCAAAACCAGCTCGGCCAACATATTGGACAAAACACCAATATTCCGTCGTGGCCGAGCAAAATCAGCTCGGCTTTTGAGTTGGATAGGACGCCAACACTTCCTTTCTTCCAGCAAGGTCAGCTCGGCTCTCGCCAGTTGGACAAAACACCAACATTTCAATTTTGCCGAGCAAAATCAGCTCGGCATGTTGATTGGTCTAAACACCAATATTTCATTGAAGTTTTGTAGGACGCCAACATCCCAATTGGGCGAGCAAAAGCCAGCTCGGCCATTATGTAAATTGGGCGATACACCAATTATTTCACTTGGACAATTCACCAACTGTTTGCGCGGTCTTCGTCTATACCGGCGACGGAAAACCAGCCTGGTTGCCCCTGGTATCCGTAGTGGCCTTGTATCCTTGCAGTGTCATTGTACAGAAAGACGCAATAAAAAAGCAACAAGAAGGATATTTTTCATTACAAAAGCAGTGCTATACTTACATCAAATGCCAAAAGGCTAAAGGTCTAGAAAGCTAATCAATAAAAGCAATTACATCTTCAAAGTAAAAGATCTTAAGATTGACTACATTCCACGGTCTGGGGACAGCTTTGTCATCTAAATCTTCCAGATGGTATGCCCCTTTGCCAGCGAAACCAGTCACCTTGTACGGTCCTTCCCAATTTGCACCGAGCTTCCCTTCGCCTGGGACCACTGTGTTGCCCAACACTTTTCTTAAGACCCAGTCTCCAATCTTGAACAGCCTGGGGTGCACAGCCTTGTTGTATTTCTTGGAGAGTTCTTGCTGATAGGCCGCTATGTGGATTAGTGCCCACTCCCTTCTTTCCTCGGCGAGGTCTAGCTCCAATGCTACTGCTTCATTGTTCAAATCTGGCTGGAAGCTTTCAGACCGGATGGTTGGCATGCCAATTTCCAGCGGGATGACGGCTTCCATACCGTAGGCCAAGGCAAACGGAGTTTTCCCGGTCGACCGCCTTGGCGTAGTGCGATACGCCCAGAGTACGTTAGGGAGTTCTTCAGCCCACTTCCCCTTGGCCTTCTCAAGCCCCTTCTTCAGCCCGTCTAGGATGGTCTTGTTCGAGGCCTCTGCTTGACTATTTGACTGAGGATAGGCCGGCGTTGAATTGTAGAATTCGATCTTCAGCTTTTCGCAAAATCCACGAAAGAGTTTTCCATCGAATTGAGTGCCGTTATCCGAGATGAGGGCCTTTGGTATGCCGAAGCAAGTGATGACATTTTTCCAGACAAACTTCTTCACCTCCTTTTCCTTTATGGTCGCCAGCGGCTCAGCCTCAACCCACTTGGTGAAGTAGTCAGTGGCAGTGATGAAGAATTTGCGATTGCCCGGTGTTGTTGGGAGTGGCCCAACAATATCCAACCCCCAAAGCGCGAACGGCCAAGGACTTGTAAGGATGAGCAATTCTCTAGCTAGCTGGTGGATCTGGTGAGCGAACTTTTGACACTTTTCGCACCTGCGAACGTATTTCTGCGCGTCCGCCTACATGCATGGCCACTACTAACCTTGGGAAATTGCTTGGTAAGCCAAAGATCTGCCCCCAGTATGGCTGCCGCAGATGCCTTCATGGATCTCATAAAGAAAAGCTTCCACCTTGGCGAGGTGGACACACTTTAGATAGGGCCCGGTAAAAGACTTCTTATACAAGGCTCCGGACGGGGAGAGCCAAAACCGCTCTAACTTGGCTCGGATCTTGTTGGTCGCCTTCTTTTCTTCCGGTAGAACCCTATCTTTTAGGAAGGCGATGATGGGATCCATCTAGGAAGGACCCAAGTCGGTGTAGAGTACCTCGGTCGCTTCTGGTTCCTCAATACTTGGCCGAGGTAAGAATTCTATCATCAAGGGGTTAGGAAAAACTGTCTGAGTAGAAGCGAGTCCGGCCAATTCATCAGCCATGTTGTTTTCTTCACGGTTGATCTGTTCCACTCTTATGGCGTTGAACTTCTTGATCTCTGCGCACACCAGGGCCTGATACTTGGCCATTCTCTCATCCCTTGCCTCATACTCTCCTGAAACCTGATTGACCACCAGCTTAGAATCGCTGAATACCATAAGGGCTGATGCTTTCATTCTCAATGCGCTTCTTAGCTCGGCAAAGAGGGCTTCATACTCTGCCTCGTTGTTGGATGCAGGGAAGCCGAGCGTAATTTCCTGCTCGATAATCAGCCCGTCCAGAGAAGTCAGTACGATACCCAGCCCGGCCCCGTGCCTATTGGATGCCCCATCGACGAAGAGCTTCCACATCTCGCCAATGAACAGCTTCCAGCAATCAGAAGGGTTTTGGGAGCTCCTCAGTTCCAAGTCTCTGATCGACTCATTCTGGTCTCTTTCCTTGTCTTCATTGAGTCCGTCTTCTAATGAGTGACCCGACTTCGCCAGTTCAGTCTCCTTTTGCCCTTCTTTCACTTGCGAGCCAACACTTGTCTCCATCGCCTGATCCATGGGCTGTGCTAAATCTGCACTAGCCAAATCAACCGGGCAAACTGGATGCGTTCCAAGGGCAAATTCCGCCACGAAGTCTGCAAGAGCTTGGGCCTTGATTGTGGTGCGCGGGCGGAACTTGATATCGTACTGCCCCAATTCCACGACCCATTTCAAAATTCTCCCGGTGAAGTCTACCTTTTCAAAGAGCACCTTTAGTGGAAACTCGGTTAGCATAACTATCATATGGGCATGAAAATAGTGTGCCAGCTTTCTTGACGCCATCATCAGGGCCAGGGCCAATTTTTTCAACGGAAGATATCTCGTTTCGGCCGGGAGTAGAGTCTTGCTTACATAGAAAATGGGCAAGTGCTGGATGCCTTCGGTGCGGACTAGAACGGCGCTCACCGCGTGTTGAGAGACTGCCAAGTAGAGGTACAACTCTTCGCCCGGCTGAGGTGTGACTAAGATAGGGGCTGAGGAGAGGTACACTTTCAAGTCTGCCAGTGCACTGTCACATTCGTCATCCCAGAAGAACTTGGTCTTCAAAGTTTTGAAGAAGGGCCTGCAACGATCTAAAGACCGGCTGATAAACCTGTTCAGCGCGGCTGCTATCCCTGCAAGATGTTACACGTCCTTCGTGGAGTTTGGGTGCTCCAAGTCTTGTATAGCCTTGATCTGTGATGGGTCGGCTTCAATCCCTCGATTTGTGACCAGAAAACTGAGAAACTTCCCGGTACCGACTCCAAAGGCACATTTGGAGGCATTCAAACGAAGCTTGTGGCGTTTACGTATAACAAACATCTCTGCTAGGTCGGCGAGGTACTGAGACTTCTCCTTACTTTTCACCACCATGTCGTCGATATAGGCCTCCATGGTGCGACCCAACAGTGGAGCGAACATCTTTGTCACCATCCGTTGAAAGGTTGCTCCGGCGTTTTTCAATCTGAACGGCATGACTTTATAGCAATACAAGCCTCTGGGAGTAGTGAACGATGTGATCTCTCGGTCCGATTTGTACATGGCTATCTAGTGGTAGCCGCGATACGCGTCCAGGAAGCTAAACCTCTGATGGCCAGCGGTCAAGTCCACCAGCTGGTCAATTCGAGAGAGGGGAAAGCTATCCTTTGGGCAAGCACGGTTGACTGTCTTGTAGTCAACGCAGACTCGCTACTTACCATTCTTCTTCGGAACCACCACTGTGTTAGATATCTACCGAGGGTATTGCACCTTTTCTATGGCCCCAGCTTCCAACAAATTCTTCACTTCTTCTGCCACTACCTCAGCATGGTGCAAGGCTGAGCGACGTGTCCTTTGGATGACTGGCCACGCATTGGGGAAGACATTCAACTGATGGCAAATGAAGCTCGGGTCGACGCCAGGCATATCGTAAGGCGTCTACGCAAAAGCCTCAAAATTGGAAGTCAAGAAGTTGACATAATCTAACCGCTCGGTGCTAGACAAAGATGATCCCAAGAGGAAAAACTTAGTTGGGTCGTTCTCGTCGATGCGCACTTCTACCAAATCCTCGACCGATTTTTTCTCGGCCTTTTTACCTACATCTTCAAGGACCTCCTTTCCCTCGGGTCCCTCAATCATTTGGACGAACCCCTTGGCTGCTCGGCTGCCATTTACTGCAACGAAGCATTGTTTTGCTATCACCTGGTCTCCCCAAACCTCTTCTATTTGTCCGATTGGTGTCGGAAAGCGCAAAACTTGATGGTAAGATGACGCTACTGCTTGCATGGCGTGCAACCAGCCCCTGCCCAAAATTAAGTTGTAGGTGGATGGGACCTTGAGCACCCAGAATTCCACTTGCTTCATGACTGAACCCGCTTTGACCGGCAATATGATCTTCCCCACCGGCCACTCTGGCTGTGAGTTGAATCCAACCAAAGGAGACGTCACTGGGGCCAAGTCCTTGTCCTCCAGCTTCATCTACTTGAAGGCGTCATAATACATAATTTTGACCGAACTCCCCTGGTCAATCAAGATTCTCTTGATGTCAAAGCCTTTGACGCGAAGAGTTACCACTAGAGCATCATTGTGGGGCATCTGGATCCTTTCCAAATCCTTGCTTGAAAAGGTAAGGACGTCTTTCTCCTCGATCTTCCCCTTCTTCACAGCGGGCTGAACGGAGAGCACCTCCCTCATGTGCTCGGCCTTCTTGATCATCCCCCTCTTAGCTCGCAGACCCTGGCCGGTTCAATGATGCCATGGATGACGTTGATTACACCTTGCGGCGCCACGTCCAGGGCGGCTAGGCCGTTTGGTTCGGTTTGTCCTGATGGTGCGGCCTTTATCGCCCCATCTATGTATTGGTCAAGATGCCCGGCCGCCACCAATTCTTCCAAGTGTTGTTTGAGCGGCAAGCAGTCCTCTGTTCGGTCCCCCCGTTCCTCATGGAAGGTGCAATGATATTTTGAATTGAAGCCTCTCTGCGCACTCCCCAACTTGGCCGGTCAGCGGACAAAAGGCTCACCTCGGATCTCACTCAGAATGCGGTAGATAGGGATTTTAAAGACCGTGGTGATTCCAGTCCGCGCCTTCAATTTTCTCTTGGCATCTTCCGCTGCATCACGGGGAGCGTCAGCTCGGTCGTTTCTGCGACCCTTGTTTCGGTCATCGCGGTTTGGGCCACGGCGTTGATTTTTTGACCGGCCATTTGGGCGGTTATCCTCCTGCCCGACCGAGTGAACTTTTCCTACCACCTTTCTGTCCGTCGCGACCGGATTAACCTTCTCGGTCGCGGAGGCAGCATCCTCCTTCACACGGATGTGCTCATTGATCCGCTGCATCAAGGACTCCATAGTGGTGGGCTGGTGCATTGTGAGCGAGTCTCGCAGCCTATGTCTGACTAGGAGACCTCGCTTGTACTGAGTGATCGCCAGTTTGGTAGGGCAGTCGAGGATCTCATTGTAAGTTTCCCAGTACGTCGCGTTGTAGGCCTTCAATGAACCTCCAGATTCCATCTTGACGCACGCAGGAGATGGTCGACCTCCTTCGGTGTGCGAGTTTTGGTTTTGAATCTAGTGACGAAGGCTTCCGCTAGTTGCTGCCACCCTTCGATACTCCCCTCCGGGAGCCTTTCGAACCATTTCAAGCCCAGCTCTCCCAAGCTTGCTGGGAATATGAGGCACATCAGGGCGTCATTGCACCGGTGGCTAGCCATTACTTGCCGGTAATGACTCACGTGCATGTACGGATCTGTCTTGCCATCGTACAAAGTGAACTTTGGCTGGTGGAATCCGGCAGGGAGTGGAGTACTCTTGGTTTCTGGAGACAACGGCGTGGCTGTAAGTCTCGCCAACTCCTTGTCCACCAGCGCAGGGGCCATCACTCTGGGAGCTGGCATCGCCACTTCTTCGCTACAGCGAACTGGAGCGCTCAACCTCTGCAATGCCGGCACTCTCAGAGCCTCGTGACGGCGAGCCATTTCCTCCAACACATTCCTCAGGTCTCTGGAACGGGAGGAGAAAGAGTATCTCGACGTCGATGACGGGCGTGAGGGGCAGTATGTGCTGTCGCGAGTGAGGGATCTGCCCTCTCTTTGGTCGGAATCTCCAACCCCATAGTTCCTGGTGATGGAGAGAGAGTGAGTCCTCTCCTGGTGGCGACTGCTAGAACGAGGGGACGGGGTGCGCTCACTGAGGTTGCCCTCTCCAGCAACACCCTTCCCTTTAATCTGGCGCTTCAGCATCTCCATCTCCGCTACCATCTTGCGAATGAGGGCGTCTTGGTCTTTGAGTTTGTGCTCCAGGCGCTGCGCACGGGACTCCCCCCGCCGCCGACGGCCCTCTGGACTCTTCGAACAATCAAAACTCCTCCCACGTTTGTCTCGCGCACCTCGTGAAGAAGTTTCTAGGCTCGCCATGGCCGGAACATTCGGGGGGCCATCTCTCATTCGAACATACTCCGGAGTGACACCATCGACGACGGACAGTGGAATTTCGTCGTTGTTGGCCATGGAAATGGTCAAAAAGGCTTGAAGAACAAGGGGTGAATATCAAAGGCTTCCTACAGACGGCGCCAATTGTACGGGGGCAAAATATCCTCTGCTTTCCGTACTCCTTGGACTCCAAGCTTCTCGTGACGGCGTCTAACCTGGCAACACAGAAACGGTGAGCTGCCCGGCTGTGGTGTGCCGGATAGACCCTCCGACGATCAAGTCAGTCCACTTGAGGAAGAAGAAGACTGATAGAGAGAGAGTATTGTTTCCGATGGCGCAAAATTGCTTTTTTGTTACTTACCTCAAAGTTCACCCTCCCACTCCTATTTTCAGGTTGGCCATGCAGCCTCAGGATTGTGCGCGCACTTCCTTTGCTGTTCTTCCCTGGACAGGTGGCAGTGCTCGCCTCTCACCACCTTACGCATGTAAAGGTTCAGTCCTTCAACCAGTACATGCAGAACTGCCAAATGGTATTGACGCGTGCTTGGAGCAGATTTCCTCTCCCTCACGCCATTGGCCCAGGTGGCATACTTAACCAGAGTACCACTGTAGACGCGCCCGCGTGAGGCCTTCGTGCTACAGTTCAGACTCGAATTGTCACGGTTCTTAATCTGAACCAAAGAGTCCAAATCTGGCAAATCGTTTTGAGAAAACAGATTTTTAGAAAAGAAGTGCCAAACATGGACTGCTTTGCCAGATACAGAGTCGCCACCTAAATATTTTATTTTGGAGGAATTTAGGAAACCCTGACTCGTTTGCCTAAGGCCACGTGTCCGTCATCACCAAAGTTGCCTCAGCTCGGGAACTTGGGTACAATTGGAGAAGGTCAGCTATGAGCACCCCCTCTCGCTCGATCCGAAGATCGGCCTCTACTAATCATGATATCTTGTTTTGAAAACATTATGTGTTCTTATTCCGGTTATTAGCCTAGATTTACTATGTGATGCGCACAGCAAAACAAGTATAGACTAAATTGCCTAAGTCGGAACAAAGCATCGCATTTTCGTTTATTTGGAAAATTGTTTGAATTTTGCTACTCGCGAGTAGGCTAAAATACGGATTTCGATGAATTATCCCATTTCAAACAATCCAACCTTTACCCACAAGCATTCATGCAGTTATATCACATAAACATATAGCCACATGGTAAGCATGCTATCATGTTAACATTCACACTCATGCGAGATGCTAAAGCATAAATACTTACATCGTACTCTGTGTCAAAACAGTGAACTAGTTAGTAATCAAATGCATGATCCTAGTTCATGTTGAGATGGCTAATGCAACACATGCAGAATGTCACTAGAATAGGCTCGGCTAACCTATGGATGGCATG